GTAGTAAGCGCTGAATAAATGTTTGACTTGAATACAGTCTACAAAGATCTTCCTATCAACAATAGCTAAAGCTTAGGTGGATTAAGTAATTTGCCAAGACCCTAAAGCTGCTAAGTGTAGGAGCAGAGAGGAGACAGCCTTCTGATTCCAAAGTAGCTCCATTGTGGTCGATAAGCGGTCGATAAGTGACTCTGGAAGGCAGCCAGGATGTGCGGCATTGGGGGAAATAATTAAGCTACAAGAGAGGAATCCACATCAATCATTCCTCTGGCCAGAGCTGTTCACCCATTCAATCAGTCCACTGCCAAAGCAAATTCTTCTCTGCTCCTCTCCCCTCCCCCCCCAACAGGCTGTGATTGTGGGACTTCTTTTCCCTTCAAAGCCTGCCTTTGTAATCCACCTTAACATGGTGATACAGTTAAATGTTTGGTGGGCTGGGATGGGTGGGAGGTCAGAAGGAGCTACATGACCTATAATTTGGCCAAAGGAGTGCCCCAGTTGCACTCTACTTGTCAGTCATTGCTACATGTTTCCATGGTGATTGTTACCTCTCCAAGTCCTTGAAGGAAGGGATGGGTGTGACCCTTGCATTCCCTTGGGTGCCTATCACTACACTCAGTAACATACAGCACGAGGCACTCGGTAAGTGCTGACTCACCCGTGTTCCCTTCCAAATGAAGCTACCCTCTGACTGCAGACCCTGGACAGGGCAGCACATCCCTTTCCATGGCTGAGTAAACTACGTCAGGTGAGGAGCTCCAAGGGGAACCTGTGCCCATTTGAATACTTCAAGAATTCTCTTGTGAGAATCATTTGCATTCTTATCATCAATTCTGAAATCTTAGTTTTCCATGTGACTTCTCCTACTTACAGAAACTTTGCTGGTCAAAAATCTAGAGCTGAAGGAACACTGAAAGTCTTCCAGTCCAACCCCCTCATTTTACAGATGAAGAAACTGAGGCCCACAGGGGCTAAGTGGCTTGTCCAAGGTCACCCACTAGCTAACATCTAGGCATAATAATTTTGCCCCCAGAAATCACCTTTCCTCGTTACCACCTCCTGGAATCACTGTCCCCTCAGGAGTAAAAGGGGAGGTCCAGGAAAGAGCACTTATCTTAGGAGTGACCTGGAGCAAGTCATTGAACCTCTGTGCACCAAAGCATGGCAAAGTCTAGGACTTGAACTCAGCTCTCTTCCTATTGCACCATGCTGCCTGCCTCTCTATTAAGAAATCAAAGTGAAACCATGTCCTGCTACCCATTAGGAAAAGTGCCGTCATGTGTCAAGCAGAAAAATCTCATGATAGGAACTGAGTTCTTATGACTCACTTATTTTGTTTTAAATCCCCTAATCAGACTTAAAAAATTGACATCTAGTTTTCTATTAAAGTAATTTTAGTTTAAAAAGTATGATGACTTTAAGTCCATACACACTCTGGTATTTTGATGGCCCTGAGATATCATTAATGTGGCCACTTCCTTCAATGATGGGGAACACAATGTATCCAGACGTGCCCATTCTGTGTTTCCATGGCCTTCCCTAAATCTGTCACAGAGAGTCCACCAATGGGTTGGGGCCTTCTTCTTGATCTCTTGCCATTTACCAGGTACCTACCATAAGCAAAGGCAATGTGCTAGGCTTTGGTATACAAAGACAAAACCAAATTTAAAAGTTCTAGCCTTAAAAGTGGACCCATTCCCCTGGGTGACAGTCCTAAGCAAACATAAGTACATACATGATAACCTGAGGAGGGAGAGAGTCCTAATAAGTAGGGAGAATCAGGAAAAGCTTCCCACAGCATACACTTGAAATCAGCTTTGTAGAAAACTAATGAGTCTAAGAAGTAGAGACAGAAGAGGATGCTGTCCCCTGCATGTGGAACTGCCAATGGCACAGGAGGCAGCAGCTTCTTTGGAGGGTGGATCACTTCATTCTAAACTTAAAAGGCTTTGGAAAACAGAAAAAGTAGGAAAGTATTTCTTTTTAAGCTTGTGAATAAAGTCAGAGAAATAGGAAGGCTAAGCAAGTTGCATAACTCATTGCTGAAAAAAAAAACAGTTAGGGGCTGAGGTTAAAAAAGAGTTAGCCACAAAAATTAAAATTGGTAATTTATCATACGAAAACATTGCAAGAATCAGAAATGAATTAGAAGATACTTGAATTTGCATTAAGGAAATAATTCTAACTGCGAGACAAAAGATAAATAGTTTGGAGAGTGGTTTCCTTCTGTCTCTCTACCTCTTTTCTTGGTGTCAGGAGCTCCCTCTCTTTTAGGGAGTGGACCCTGGCATGATCTTCCTAACAGGAAAACTTTAGGCTCAACCCTTGCTCCAATGGTAGCTCCGCCAGCCCATTTCACTCAGTGGGGGAAAAAAATAAAGGCCCAATTCTTTGTTTTATTTATTTAGGAACTAGATCTCTCTATCCTGTCCAGGTTGGAAGTGCAGCAGCTGCTCTCCCAGATCCAATCCCAATACTGGCCAGCACAGAAGCTTTACCCTGCACCACTTTTCCCAGCCAGACCAGTTCACCTCTTTTTAGGCAGGCTGGTGAACCTCTGCTCTTGGGGACTCACCCTATCGTTACTGGATGTAGCGCAGATACCAATCAGCTTCAGCCCTCCTGCAGCTTAGAACTCCCACACCCACATAATCCACCAGCCTCAGCCTCCCCAGCCGCTAGGGCTACAGCAGTGCTCCACATGCCAAGTGGTCTGACTCTTCAAAGTCCTGCATTCTCTTCTGGGACTGGGAGAAAGAGTAACTCGTTAAATTGGACATAAGAGAAGCAGAGTTCTCAAAAAGCTGTACTTCTTATAAGTGGATAATGAAAAGGTAGAGTAATAAAAATACCCATGGAGCAGTAGGAGAAAATAGCTAAGAATAATATGGTTTATATGGCACACAGTTACCTTTTACCAAGAAAGATTTTGTTTTCCATTCTAATCTTGGTGTAGTAGACAAGTAGTCAGAAGGCTTGGGTTCAAGTTCCACCTTTGATACATACTGGCTATGTGACCCCAGAAAAATCACTTGGCCTTCAGTGTCCCCCAGCAATTCTCTAGAACTATAAACTTGAGGTGTTTCATAAACTAATAAAATCACTCTTGTTCAGCTGTTTTTTGGCTGTGTCCAACTCTTCATGACCCCACTTGGGGTTTTCTTGATAAAGATACATGAGTAGTTTGCCATTTCCTTCTCTAGTTCATTTTACAGATGAGGAACTGAGGCAAACAGTAACTGGCCCAGGGTCACATAGCTAGGAAATGTCTGAGGCTGGATTTGAACTCAGGGAAATAAGTCTTCTTGACTCCACCTAGCTGCCCAGTAAAACCATAGGTCCATAGGTCTTTCTGCCATCCTCAAAAAACTGAACAAATCAAAATAAACAAAAGCCCCACCATGGCTATCAGAAATCAAGAAAAAAACAAACTCATTGCTAATAGAACTCAATGATCAATGATCAGTATAGGAACAGCTGGCAATAAAAACCACAAGAGGCTAATTCTGAATTTTCTAAAATAGGTTTAAAAAAAAAGATATGAAATAGGTCAGACTAAATGCTAATTTGGTTCTAACATGACTTGATCCCCTTTCTTTTTGTTTTGTTATGTATCTGCAAGTATAAAAATTATTCCATTTTCATAACTGCATGACTCTCATCAGGTTATTTTTCAATCTACTAGCTGTAACCCTGGTAGGAAGAGTGAACAAGCCCAAGTAGAAAAAATGAAGCAGATTAAAGTTTCCACACTGATCGTTACTAGGGTAGGGTCTGTGAGTAGCACTGTACTTCCAGCCTTGGTAAAATAAAGAAATCTAATCTCAAAATAACATCAATAATGATAATAAAAAACATATATGCATATCTGCATAAATGACCACATATACACATACATAAATGTTACACGATTATATGCATATATATACTACTTAATAATTCAACAAAACATGTGAGTGCCTACTGTAAGCAAAGTACCATGTTCAGTTCTGTACAGACCATAAGAGGAATAAGCCATGGTTCCTGCTCTCCAAGAGCTTACATTCTAGCTGGAGAGATGACACGCACACAAATAACACAAGGTATCACATGACCAGCATAATTTAAATGACAGAGACAAGAGAGACAGAGAGATTCAGCTACTCAGCAGGAGAACTCTTCTAGAAATGGTTTCCATTTGATCACCCAAAGTGTCAAGCTCCAGGTGAGATTGTAGATTTTCAGGTACCCTTTTTCCTGCCTGGGGAAGTAGCCTTTTCTTTACAAGTTCAGAGGAGGTAGAGATGACTTCTGGCTAGGGTGATCAGTGAAGACTTCATGAAGGAAGAGGTTAGCCTAAGCCTTGAAGGATGGGCAAAAATAAGGGAGTGGGGTACATTCTAGGCAGAGGGAAAGGTATAAGAACAGGTGCCAAAGTGGGAAAGCATAAGATGTATTTGTGGTTGATAAGTAGCCCAGATTAGTGGAAGCAAAACATTCACATGGAGGGATAGCGAAAGAGCAATCAGGCAGCAGAGGCAGACAGGCACAGTGTGGAAGGCCTGGAATGCCAAGCTGAGGAGGCTGGATTACACTGGGCAGAAGAGGAACCCAGATAAAGTGATACTGTAATAAGATTCATCTGAAAACAAGGCAAAAAGGTGAAGAAAGGAAGGAAGAGAGAACAAGCAGGGAGAAGAGTTAAATAAACATTATGAAGGAAGAAATGACAAGAATTAGTGATTGATTTGGATAGGGGAAGGGGCCGAGAGAGATGAAAAAATAACTGAGGTTTTAGTGGGACTAGGGGAATGACATCACCATTATCAGAAACAGGGAAGTCAGAAGGAGGAACTGTTTGAGAAAGGAAGGGGACAAATGAAAGGCACACAGAGATGTTTTAACTAGATTTTTTAAAGTTAATCTAAATGAGTTCGCATTTTGCTTATAGTTTATCATAATATAAAGCCAAGGGGTTCCTCCCCACCAAAGATTACAATCACACACAAAGTTTTTCTAACCTTTTTCCTTTGATCTTGGAAGAAATCATTGCAGTGCTTAAGCAAGGAGATCAGGACGGAATTTACATCATACTTAATTAAAAAGTAAGGCAATGCTGTGACTCCTTCTTCCTGGCAAAGATTATCATATGCACATTCAAGGGCTTGAATCTGAAAACAGAAAACATTATTACTAAAATCTATGGAGAAAATCATTAAGGCTGATACAAATTAAGAATAAACTTAAAACCAACACTTAGAAACAACCAATCACACCCCCATAAGGTTCTTAACTGCCACAACTGAAATATGGTAAGAATACATTTATCAGTGCTCTAAAGATCAGGAAAATACACCCATTGACATTGCACCCAGTATTCCATTCCTGATGTGGACAAACAAAGGAGTTTTTTCAAGGAGAACAGTAACACCCAAGGGAATTCATTGTTCCTTCTGATGCCAAGTTCAAAAGGTTAAGTTGTACCTAGAACACCACAATGGTCCCTTCATAAATCATTTGGAGCTACCATTCACAAACTTGACCTCTAAGAGCTTTCAGAGGCTTTTTATATTTTCTGATTCCATAAATTTTGAGGGAAGTTTTCTATCTCTGTCAAAGCCTTCTTACATATCCCAAAACTAACTATTTTAAGCTCTAATATGACAATGCCATGATTTCAATAGGTGAACAAGTCTATGTTTAGATTGTTAAAATCCCTCACAGTTTTATACATTTTTTTCCACTTCCTCCAGTGATCTTTGTCTTTAGGCAGAGGGACCTGATATTTTTAGTTTTTCTCCTAAAAAAAGTTCCCTCTACTTGGTTATTTTACATGTCTTTCTTACTCTTTGCTAGCTTTTTCATGTTTTCCTTAAAATCCAAAGACCAAACTTAAGACAGTATTTCAGATGTAAAAGCACTATGACCTTGTACTAGGGGAGGATATTTTCTACTGTATTTCTAAACCTTTCCTGATGATACCCAACATTCTATTGGCCTTCAGCATGTTGGGCTGACCAAAACAAGAAACAAGTTAAATGTTGGCCAGTCAGCTGTGCTTAATTGTTTTTGTTTCTTCTAAAGATAGGTCCGATGTACAGGTGGCATGGGGGAAAGGGGCAGTAAAGCAGCAAATGACTGTGGTGAGAAACACGAAAAGATCACCATGTACAAAAAACGTAGAGCTGTGAGGGATGTCAGAAGTCATCTAGTCCAACTTCCTCCTTTTACAGATGAGGAAGTAGAGTCAGAGAAATTGGTGATTTCTGCAGGGTCCTATAAGCAGGCAGTGCCCCAAGCAGGAGCTGAAGCTAGACCTTCTTAACTCTATCCACTGCACCCTGTTGCCTTCCTTACAGGTGTCAGGAAAATGTTCAAAAACAAAGTAACAAGCCTAAAATAAAGGAGTTGTCAAATAAAAGCAGAATCAAAGAATAATCAAGTATGGGGAAAAAATTCAAAATGGCTGTGAGCTCAATCTCTTTCTTGGGCCATAATTGATAACTTAGGGCCCATCATCCTAAAAGCCACAATTTGAATTGCTTTTCCCAAAACTTCGTATTTGCCTACACTGAAGCCTACGCCGAAGCCTACGCCTTCACTGGCCACTACAATTGTCTCCCCTTATCACCGTACAACTTGCTCCTGTCCACTGGGTATTCCATACCACAAAAGACCTCAGTGTACAGCGAACTCCCCAGGTTTTTAGATGACACCACCACCACTAAATAATTTATAGCAATGCTCAGATCAGCAACCTCCAGAGGACCACAATTAACATTTTCTTCCCCCAGAAACGTGCTTGTTTGCCCCCTTACCCTCTGTGTCCAGAGAGCACAGAGTGCACAACGGCTTTTTTGTTCTGTTTTGTTGTGTTACCTGGCTTGGAGAAAACTTTTGATCCAAACGTATTGGCTCCTGAAGAAGGGGTACACCCTCTGGAAGGCAGAGGGCAGGGTAGCAAAACCAGTAGTAGAAGTAGTACTTCTTTAGATCCTAGGGAAATAGAAGAATTAGGCATTAGAACACTAATAACACAATATTGTTATATTGGCAATTTAATTTCTCAAAGATACCTTTTTTAAGGACTGAGAAAAAAAGTATTAAAAAAATGTAGAAATTTTGTCAAAGTCTATCCATTCTGAACAAACTTTATATCAGAATACAAATCTTCTAGATTTTAAGATAATAAACCTTCATAAGGCCATTTGTCTCCTTACATTGCCTGCAGTGCTTACATAGCACTTTAAGTTTGCCAAATACTTTGCACGTATGATCTCATTTTACCCTCACAATAATTCTGGGAGGTAGGTGCAATTCATATTTCCATTTTACAAATGAAGAAACTGAGGCGGACAAGTTAAATTCCTTGTCGAGGCTCACACAGCTAAGAAGACTAGATATGAACTCAGGTCTTCCTGATTTCAGGCCTAGTGCTCTATGTGCTGCAGCACTAAGGCAAGAGTCTAAGCCCAAGAATTAACATTGTTCTTCACTTCTGTATAAACTGAGCTCACTATTAAAATACTGACCCCTGAACTGCTCTATAAGTATCTTACCAGGAGTTTCCTTGGCTATCTTTTGTAATTAAATCTCCCTTCTTCTTTCAGGTGTTAAGAACTCTCTATTTCCTCCAAGAACTGTGCATTTGTGTGTGTGTGTGTGTGTGTGTGTGTGTGTGTGCGTGTGATCCTGCTAGCAGAATGTAAGCTCCCGAAGGGCAGGGATTGTTTCACTTTTTGTATGCCCAGCATCTAGCACCGTATCTGAGGCAGCAGTGAATAAGACAGAAGACGGGCTTGCCTTAAACCAAACTCCACTCTACAGTGGAATATGTTATATAAAGTTTCTTGCATAGGTAGATCACAAGATGAAGCCAACTGCAACGAAAATTTTGCTTCAAAAAATGGAATTCCCTTCCTTGAGACTTGCAATGTAAACATGAGCTCTAGAATCAGGAAATCCAATTTCAAGTCTTAGCTCTCCTGCCTGACTGGGACAGCTAGGTGGCACAGAGGATAGAACACCAGTCCTGGAGTCAGGAGAAGCTGAGTTCAAATGCAGACTCAGCCACTCGACACTTACTAGCTATGTGACCTGGGCAAGTCACTTAACTCTGATTGCCTCCCAAAAAAATAAAATAAAATATCTATGTGACCTTGGGTAACTCAATCCATCTCTCTGGGACTTATTGTCCTCCTCTGTAAATAAGGCTAATAGCTCTTATATCTGAGCAAATTCTTCTCAAGACAATTTTTAAAAATCTATTTTTTATGTTTTTCCCCAATTGCAAGTAAAAACAATTTTAACATATATTTTTTCAAATTTTGAGTTCCAAATTCTCTTCCTCCTTCCTTACCCATCCTCTTCACTGAGAAGGTAAACAATTTGATATAGTTTATACATTTGTAGTCATGCAAAACATATTTACATCAGTGATGTTGGGAAAGAAAACACATATACAAAATAAACACGAGAAAAATAAAGTTTAAAAAATATATTTCAATCTGCATTTAGACTCCATTAGTTATTTCTCTGAAGGTGGATAGCACTTTTCCTCATATGTCCTTCAGAACTGTCTTACATCATTGTAGTGATGAGAACAGCAAAGTAATTCATAATTGATCATCATACAATACTGCTATTACTATGTACAATGTTCTCCTGGTTCTGCTCACTTTACTTTGCATCAGTTCATGTAAGTTTTCCCAAGTATTTCTGAAAGCACCCTGCTCATCATTTCTTATAGCACAAAAGTATTCCATTACAATCATATATTACAAATTGTTTAGCCATTCTCCAATAAATGAGCATTCCCTTAATTTCCAATTCCTTGACACTACAAAAAGAGCTGTTATAAATATTTTTGAACATACAGGTCCTTTTCCATTTGTTTTTAATCTCTTTGGGATACAGACCTAGTAGTGGTACTGCTGGATCAAAGGGTATGCAGAGTTTCATAGCCCTTTGGGCATGGCTCCAAATTGTTCTCCAGAATGGCTGGATTAATTCACAACTCCACCAACAGGGAATTAGTGTCCCAATTTTTCTACATGTTTTCCAACACTTGTCTTTTTCTGTCATATTGGTCAATCTGATAGGTGTGATGAGATACCTCCAAATTGTTTTAATTTGCATTTCTCTAATTAATAGTGATTTAGAGCATTTTCCATATGACTACAGGCAGCTTTGATTTCTTAATCTGAAAACTGTCCATATCCTTTGACCATTTACTAATTGGGGAATGTCTTGTATCCTTATAAATGACTCAGTTCTCTATATATTTGAGAAACGAGGTCTTTATCAGAGAAACTTGTCATAAAAATTTTCCTGTTTTCTGCTTTCCTTCAGCAGCATTGGTTTTGCTTGCTCAAACACTTTTTAATTTAGTGTAATCAAAATTATCCATTTTACATCCCATAATGCTCTCTCTCTTGTTTGGTCATCAATTCTTCTGTTACCCATAGATGAGGGGTAAACTAATTTGCTTATGGTAGTTCATCCTATTCACATTCACTGTTATGATTGCTAACTGCTTATTGCCCTCCATCCTACTTTTCCCCCGTTTATCCTACTCTCTCTCCCTTCACCCTGTCCATCCTCAAGTGTTTTTTGCTTCCGACCACAGCCCCCTACCCCCATCTGCCCTCCCTTCTATCAGTAACTGCCTCACTTTTCTCTAATTCCCCCCTTCCCTCCTACTTCCCTGTAGGGCAAGATTTCTATACCCAGCTGAGTGTGTATGTTATTCCCTCTTTGATCCAATTCCTATGAGAGTACGGAATACAAACCCCCATCTTCCCTTCCAATGTAAAAGATCTTTTGTACCTCTTTTATGTGAGATATTTTACCTTATTCTGCCTCTCCCTTCCCCTTTTCCCCAGTGCATCCCTCTTTCTCAACCCCTAATTTTATTTTTTTGGATATCATACCATCATAGTCAACTCCCACCCAAGTCCTCTATCTAAGTATACTCCTTCTAACTGCCCTAATAATGATTAAGTTCTTAGGAATTACAAGTATCATTTTCCCACATAGGAATGTAAACAATTTAACCTTATTGAATCCCTTATGATTTCTCTTTCATGTTTATCTTTTTATGCTTCTCTTGAGTCTTATGTTTGAAAGTCAAATTTTCCTTTCTTTTCCTGGTCTTTTCATCAGGAATGCTTTTATCAGGAATCCTCTATTTCATAAAATAACCATTTTTTCCCCCAAAGGATTATACTCAGTTTTGCTGGGTAGGTGATTCTTGGTTGTAATCCTAGCTGCTTTGCCCTCTAGAACATCATATTCCAAGCTTGCTTTAATGTAGAAGCTGCTAAATCTTATGTTATCCTGACTGTGGCTTCATGATATTTGAACTGTTTCTGGCTGCTTGCAATATTTTCTCGACCTAGGAGCACTAGAATTTGGCTATAATATTCCTGGCAGTTTTCATTTGGGATCTCTTTCAGGAGGTGATTGAGGGATTCTTTCAATTTATATTTTACCCTCTGGTTCTAGGATATCAGGATGTTTTCCTTGATAATTTCTTGAAATATAAGGTTTAGGCTTTTTCTCTGATCGTGGCTTTCAGGTAGCCCAGTATTTCTCCTCAATCAATTTTCTAGGCCATTTGTTTTTCAATGAAATATTTCACATATTCCTCTATTTTTTCATTCTCCTGATTGTTTCTTGATGTCTCGTGTACCCATTAGCTTCCACTCTTTAAGGAATTATTTTCTTCAATAAGCTTCTGTACTTCTTTTTCCATTTGGCCAATTCTGAATTTTAAGAAATTCTTCTCTTCAGCAGATTTTTGTGCCTCTTTTTTTCTCCCCACTTCTCCATTCTCTAATCTGTGAGGTGATTAACCACTATCAGAAAGAAAGCCATGGGGACCAAGCAGGGCAGGCCTCCAGGGCTAAGCTGGAATTTGGGCAGGAGTCTCTAGGGTAGAGGTGATGGGGGAACTGCTGGCCTGTGAAAGCTCAGAGATGGACACATGTCCTCACTGGGGGATGAATTGGGCCACGTGTGTGATACAGATGAACTTGCCACAGTCATCAATCACACCTGTCAGTGTGCCTTCAGCCGGCAGGTCCTGCACCCAGTTAATAGTATCCTGAGTTTGCGGGCCCACAGGAGATGCTAGATCCTCCAAGAGCACAATTTTCGCCTGCTCAATGGAACCGATGAACTTAGTCAGGAAGTCCCGAGACTTCTCCTCCGTCGTGGTCTCCACTTTACCCTCCGCCTCCACTACAAAGGCCTCCTTCAGTTTTAGGTACTCCTCATGCTGTTCCTGCTCTTCCCAGGCCTTCCCTTCCTCTGCTTCCTTCCTTTTTTCTTCTACGTGAAGTTGCTCATCCTTTTTCTTCCGCTCTCCTCCCGCCTGGAGTCCAGTCGACGCCACTCCTCTCCCTCAGCTTCTTCTGCCTCTTGCTGAGCTTTCTTGGCCTGCTTCTCTTCTAGCTTCCTCTGTTTCTTGGCTCCAATTTTTTCCAGTGCTTGAATTTCTGTGAGTTCATCACCACTTTCTTCTTCCTCATCCTCTTCCTTGGCCTGCTGGGCCTGGAGTCTGCTCCCCATGTCTTGCCGGCACTGGGCCCTTCCTTCAGCCCCCTCATTTTCACGTCCAGGAAGCTGGGAGCAAGGCTGCTGCTGCTGCCTCCACATTGTGCTGATGCCCCTGATGTGCTGCCGCCTATTCTCAGACTCGGCTCACAAAAATAATAAGAGCAACCAGTGGCACCACTGCCCTTACGTAGAGGACTGGGTCCATCACCCCCTTTTGTGTCCCTTTTACTTGGCTTATTACATTGTTTAGTGTTATTTTCTTCAGTATTTTTTTGCGCCTCTTTTACCAAACTATTAGCTCTTTTTACATGATTTTCTTGAACCACTCTCATTTCTTTTCCCAATTTTTCTTCCAACTCTCTTATTTGATTTTTAAAATCCTTTTTGAGCTCTTTCAGGAATTGAGGGGGTATCAACAGGAAGAAACTATTCAAATGTTCTACAACACAATCCAGGTTATGACATTTGTAATCAGAGTAATAAGCCATCTCCCCTTGAATATTCTTATAACTCCACAGGGACAAGACTGAAATTCTATTCTTTACTGATAACAAGACATAGACTGCAGTTCTATTCTTCAATGATTCTCCCATTCCTTGGACCTCTGATAAGAACAAATGCTACAGAATACACAAGACAAAAGGAAAAGAAGTATACTCTTGAGGTTAGAAAAACCAAAACACAGACACCCTGAGTGGAAGGTGATGCCATATGACAAAGGGCTTAGACTTGACAAGAAGATATCTCAAAATACAGACCACAGGTATCTTCCAAGGTATCCCTATTCCCAGATACTAGGTCTGATGCTCTGATACTACTGATCTTCTACTGCTGCTAACGATCATTCTCCCCAAAAGCCACTAGGGACTTCTCAAGGAGCATAGTAGGCACAGTGGTATCAGTCTGGACCAGGGGGCACTTAACCTGGGTTTTGTGATTAAAAAAACCCCCAATATTTTAATAACTATGTTTCAATATAAATGATTTCTTTGCAATCCTACGTATTGTCTTTTAGGCATTATTCCTAGGCAGGGATCCATAGGCTTCACCAGATTGCCAAAAGGCTACAGGACACACAAAAGGTTTAGAGTACTTGTCTAGACCTTCTTTTCCTATAGTACGGCACATGACCTTCAAAAGACCTCAGCAGCCAGCTCTGCCTCCACTGTCTGAGATGGAGCACAATGCTCTAAGATCCCTTCTAGCTCCAAATCTACAATCCTGTGACCTTTGGCACCAACAGATGATGAGACTCTCCCAATATAAATAAGTGAATATTATAACATCAACACTTGCCTTCCATGATTTCTGCAGCACCCACAGTTTTTGTTAGCCCACTTCAGATTCATATTTTATTGTCCCATCTTACATCAATAGCTGCTCCCATTCACCTCCTCCTCTAAGGCCACCACCTCCCTCACCATACCCTCTCCTTGCAGAGCCTTCTCTTTCAGGCTCTCCCCAAGCACCCCTCACCACCACATCCCCCAAATCCTTAGGGGCTGAAACAAGAAACAGCACAAGTGCCAATCACTGACACCAAGAGTCATCTTCTTAATGCCATTTCAATGGGAATTCAGCTCAAAAAGATGCAAGAACCATGGGAACAAGAGACAAAGAATAATGTGGAAACTATTCTCTCCAGACATAAATAAAGCTGTGGAAGATGACGGCAACAATGATGATGATGATGATGATGATGATGATGATGATGATGATGATGACAACGAGGACAACTCAGGAGTTTTATGATGACTGGTCAGACAGGCTGAGGTATCATTCATTAGCAAACCATATGAGGCAGTTACTTGAAAATGATGGTACTGAGAGCCCAATAAGGAAACAGTGTATGGAGGAGTAATGAGGATTTGTAGCATTCTCAGGATTCATGTAGCAGTGTTACCATACTGGCACTTAGAAATTTTTACATTAATAATATGAAAAAAAAATTAAAAAAAAAAATAAATGAAAATATGATTATGTTTTCTACATGTCAAAAATTCTGAGGGCTTCTCAATATTTACTCTCTAATACTTAAATGCGACCAAATATAGCAAGTCATGTGCATCAAACAAGAGAAAAAAAAGTGTTGCTATACTTCCCATTTTAAGAAAAGTTAAAAACTTAAGACCAGGGATTTCACAATGTCCTGGGATCCTCATCCGGTCATTTTCAAAAGTCACAAGGATTGAGTTTCCTAACATTCTGTCCCATATATGGAAAAAAACCCACAAACAAACAAAAAACAGTTCAACACCCCAATTCAGTTAAACTAAACATTTAGGAACTAATGTCTGAAGAGGTTAACTTAGGGTGTTGACAGTTAAAGCAATGCTGAAAGATACCTAGCAAAAAAACCAGGATACTTCTGCAAAAGGGGAAAAACCAATTCAATAGAAAAAAAAAATCTTTACTGAGAAATATTCTAGAATCCTCAGGTTGAAATTCATTGAATTTGAGAAATATTTATCTTATACCAAATATGTGTATAGAACATGCTAGGAGCTAAGGTGGCTAAAAAGTTTAGGTAAGACAACAGTTGCATGATCCTTGCACAAATAACTACGACATAAAATAAGATAAGATTGTTGTTTAGTAGAAGGAGTGTCAAAAGACCTAGGTTTGAACCTCAGCTCTCTTACTACCTATGTGACACTAAGTAAAGTCGCTTACTCACTTTAGGCCTAAGTTTCCTCATATGTAACAAGTGGATTGGACTAGATTCAGGGGTGGGGAACCTGGGGCCTCGAGGCCACATGTGGCCCTCTAGGTCCTTAAACTTGGCCGTTTGACTGAATTCTGATGATCCTAAAGTTAAGTTGTTTTTTGTGTTTGGTTGCTTGTTTTTTGGAGGAGAAGGTGTTGCAGACCTACTTCCAGATCTTATGTCCTCTACAATTCTTAATCTGTTGGATTGTCTCTTCTCCTCCTATGAATAATAAACATCTCATCATTGTTTACCCCTTTCCAATGGCTTAAATGTTTCTACTTTTCTGGGTGTTGATATTCCAAGATTCACTCTTTTGGTGTAGTTGCTACCATATCTTTTGTCTTTTGGAATATTATTTTCCAAGATTTACTTTTCTTTATTGTAGTTGCTGCCAAGTTTTATGTGACTCTAACTATGGTTCCATAGTAGTTCAATTCTTTCTTTCTGGCTATGATATTTCTAGGAGTTTTCAGTTTGGGATTTCTTTCAAATGACCAGTGGGTTCTTTCCACTTTTTATTTTGTTCTCTAATAACAGATCTGGAAAGTTTTCTTTTATGATTTATTCAAATACAGTGGTCAGACTTTTTTGTTTGGTCATGGTCTTCAAGGAATCTGGTGAGCTTTAAGTGATCTCTCCTCAACATGGTCTTTCAGGTCAGTTATTTTTGGTAGTAGATACCTAATACTTTCTCCAAATTTCCTTCAATCTTTTGATTTTGTTTTAATATTTCTTGTTTTCACTTGGAGCCATTGAGTTCTATTTGCTCCATTCTAATTTTCAGGAGTCTACTACTTAGAAAAGATTTTTCCACCTCCTGATCTAAGCTATTTATTCTTCTTCCAATTCTTTCCATGAATTCTCTTATTTCCCTTGTTTCATTTTTTTAATTTCTTGCTTCATTTCATGTAGAGACCCTTGGAGATCTTGTAGCCAAGCCACTGGATTGTTGCTTAGGCTCTGATGGTATTTGTGGAGCTACTCTCCTCTTGTGCTTCTTGGGCATCTCTTGACCATAGTATATCTTTACTCTATTAAACATTTTCTATGGCCTCCATTTCTGGTTTGGGATTCGGAGCCAGGGCTAGGCTTTACTTCCTCCTACACTCTTAAATGGAGTGGTCAGCCCTGTGTGGCCTTGACCTTTATTTCAAAGACACCTGCAGTTGGCTTCCACCTTCCTTTGTGTATCTGCCTACAAAATGTTGGCAGGTTTCAAGCACTGCTGGAGTCATGGATCATACTGCTACAGTCTTCAGATGCCCCTGGAGCATTCTAGGTTAGAGTGCGACAAACTTTCCTCTGTTTCCCCCTCCCCAAAATCCAGATCAGAGGACTGTCAGCTCACAGCCCTTCAAAGTGTCCACGGCACTGCCAAAACCCCTTGTGTTTTCCCCTCAGAAAACTCTGGGCTTCTGGCAGTTCTGTTGCCCATACTCAGTTCCAGTCAGAGACCCTAGAGGGAAGAGGAGCAGAGCGGGGCCCCGGCCCCACAGATCAAGTTCCAGAAAAATAGTTATGTACCTCTAGGTCCAGAAGTAGAGCAGAGGTAGCTCTAGCTTTCAGTCTAGCACATAAGTCAGCAGCATAATAATAACAAGGCAGGAGTGTCCCAGACCAAAGGGGAGTCAGCAGTTTTGTTGCTCTGAATCTGCAGAACCTTATAGCAGGCTCATAGTGGCTGAGTCCAGCTGCGGTCTGCTAAAACTCTACCAAACACAAGCCAAAAGACCCAAACCTGGGTCAAGAAGTCAGAGTGCCCAAACCAGGAAGGCAGTGAACAGACTTCTTCCTGGATCACAAGAAGCTTTGGGAGCAATGAAAACTTGAAGGCCCTCGAACTGAGCTGAGAAAAAGCAGCAGAAGAGTATACAAGGACAGAAGCTCAGGCCAGACATCCCCCCACTAGAAGGACACAAAGCCCAACACTAACAACACCCAAAGTCAAGAAAGCGGCTGGAAAAATGAGCAAACTAATGCAGATCCACACCTTCTCAACAATGTATAGTGTCAGAGACTTGCCTTGGTCGCTGAAAAGTTAAGTGACTTACATAGCTAGGTCACATAGCCAGAATGTGTGAACCCAGGTTTTCCTGATCTGAGGCCAACTCTTTATTCACTACACCATACTACTTATTTCTCTCTTAAAAGTATCATTAACTTTACTTGCCTGGCTAATTTTCCATCCAAATGTGCATCTAAGAACTATTACTGGCTGAATCCAAATGTTCAAAACAGAAGAACATGAGGTATTATATTCCCTGACCCAGCAAGTCCCCTGGTCATGGATTGAGCCCAAGCAAAAGAGCTCCATTCTCTTCTGGGTTGAAGTGCTGGAACAAAAGGGTTAGGAAAGACACAAAAGCACCACCGAGGAGTAATCTGGTGATTTCTTTGCCACCCACCAACTTGAAATAAAAGGACATTGATAAAGGGTATCTTATGGCTCCTCCAGCTCCTCTTGAGGGCACCCAGTCAAGGGTGTGCCATCAGTAAGGAGGGCCAGCAAGGGCAGTAAAGCTCCAGCTGTGCCAGATCAGAGTCTCCATTTCTGAAGTTGTGCCTAACAATGTTTCATGTCTCCAGAGCAGCAGGAAATGCATTTACTTACAGAAAATGTCAAGAGCAGGAACTTGTTAAGGAGCACGGGGTTTTCGAGAGCAGCACCTGATTTTATTGATTCCCAAATCTGTGGGAAGAAGGGAAAGGGTCAAGGCAAGGAAGAAGCAGGTATCTCTGAGCTTTTGGCTCTTATGTCAAATACAAACTAATCAATAAAAGAGCAAGCAGGGATGGGAGTTTGTCCAGGGACCTTCATCTCATCTGCTGGCTCTGCTTTGTAGCTCAGTTAAGGAACTGGCTTAGAAGTCATAAGCACTCGTTATTAAGTACCTACTACAGCAAGGGGGGTAGGGGGGATAAAAACCACCCCACCTTCAAGGACTTACAAGCTCTTTTTGAAGGACTGAGGCAACAGCATCATAGAAAGCAAAAATCCTGGAGAAATAACCAGCCAAGCCCCAGCATTCCACTGACTCCCCACCTTGACTATAAGGCAAGCGGAGAGACCTGCCATCTGTCTGTGACAGTCTAGGTCCAAATCCAGAGCTCTCCTGGCCCAGGCCCTCTGCTCTGATGCAATAATCTACTCAATAATGGAGGGAGGCCTGGGCAGAAATAACCTGGCTGAGGACTGGAGGGTAAGTGGTACCTCAAACATGCCTCCCCTCTTTATAATCAGGCAGGCTCCAGGTCTCAACAGATGAGGGCACCCAGTCAAGGGTGTGCCATCAGTAAGGAGGGCCAGCAAGGGCAGTAAAGCTCCAGCTGTGCCAGATCAGGAAGATTTAGAGATTTCTATATATCTGTCAGAGTACACTGTAGGATACACACTGATTTAATAGAACAGTGGGCAGATTTAAATTACTTTTCTCTCTCTCTTTGATGAATCCAATTGAATTTGAGTAAATCAAATGCTTATATGATGGGACTCCATTGTTTATTATTATACCTTTCCCAACTCAGAAGAGAAACATTCAATAGAAAAAGGTGGCAGATCCCATTTCTTTCCTTATTTGGGGAAAATTCCTAGATTAATAAAATAGGCTTCCATCTGTTTTGCACTAAATAGATCCATCAAGTTTTTTTCAGGAAACTGGTTATCAGCAAAGAGTAGGAATGCCTCTTTCTTAAGAGAAATTCAGCTCACTCCCTTTCGGGAACAAATCGAACCAGGTACAGAATCTAAGTATCTTACGTACTGGTACAAGATCCTAAGAAGGGCCCCAGCTTGTAGAAGAATAAATCTCACTGGACAACTTCCTCCCCATCAATTTCTGGCATACCCAAGGGTGAGCATCAGGCCCTTGGTGGTCATTCAGCTCTCTCTTCTACCCCCACCACCTCACTCCACACTAGAGTTGGAGCTACAAGAATAACTGAAGAATAATACATCAAAATAAAGTAAGCAAACACTTCCTGAACGCCTACTACGTACAAAGCACTAGGGCAGGCCTTTGCACTTGAGTTCACAATTCAATAGATGCCAGGCTAAAGAAATACTTAAGGAAAGTATGACACATATTCCTCCTTTATATCTGACCTCCTCTGCTGCTTTTTCCAAAAGTAACTTCTTATCTGAAGTTTTGAAGGACTCGAGAGTGTTGGTGTTAAACAGGGTTCCGAAGGCTGGACAGCAGTGGGCTGGGGTAGGAGCATTTCTAGGGAAGAGAGAAAATGATTACTATATAGGACCTTGACCACCACCACTGAGGATGATCAAGTCTTGTAATAAGGGATGGAGACAGGTCACTTGTCTAAGTTCTAACAAACTTTTTTGACCTACTCTTTTCTAAAACCACTGCTCAATAATAAAGACATTTTGACAAGTTATGAAAGAAAATAAGCTTCTGACATAGTGGAACTGAAACAAATAAACAAACTTCAAGACCAGCTTCTAAATGAAAGGAGCTAGACTAGATTTAATTTAGATAAGTGTCTACTATACTTCATGTTGGGGGCTCTGCTCATTATTTAATGACAGTCTATTCCTACTTATAAATCTGCAGGCTGTTCCTCACTGTATCTTAAGTATTACAAAAATAAATTAATAATAAATCCTTGCTTGATGAAGAAGAGAGCATTAGAATTTAATTTAATTTTGGCAAGATATCACAAGAAATTAATAATAGAACAAGAAGCTCTGGAGATCCTGGAAGGCAACAAAGGATACAAACATACCCTTAAAGATACTTATGCCAAATACCCCCTTAATTAAGTTACTAAATTTAGTTACTAAATTTTGCAACTTTATTGGGGGAAAAAAAGAATAAAACTCGTGATTTTAGAGAGGCAAAAAAAAAAAGCAGAGATTTCCTTTGAAACTCCTTAACTGAAGACCTATGCTCAAAATATTATTTATTAGTTGCTACGGTCAATTAGATGTTTCTTAACAGTCTCTAACTACATCTCCCAACAAACTCATTAGGCAAGACTCTGCTCAGATACTAAAAAACATAGTGAAAAACATTCCTCCAGTCACTGGCGGAAATTTAAATTCTTAAAACTAAACTTTTTAAATGGTCCAAACCTGTTGCAGCCTACTTCTTCCCCATCTATTCTCTCTCCTAAATCCGTGGCAATCTAGCTTCCACTGACACCCATTCCAATGACCCCCACGTTCTCAAAGGGCGGGTAACACAACTTTCCATGCCTTTTCCCATCTCTCTTCCTACCTGCTGTGGCTACACAGGATAAGCCTGATGCCCACCTTGCCCTTAAGACCCTCTTACTTCCTGAGCTCCTGTAACACCAGGCTGGGCTGGTTCTCCTCCTGACGTTGAGTGGTCCTCTCTGGTTCCTCTTCTCCTTCCCCTTCAACAACTATGAAGATTCCATGAGGTTTAGCCCCTGACCCTCTGCTCTTCCTGCTTTATAATCTACTTCATAACCATAGCCTCAACTATCACCTTTAGCCTCCACACAGATAACTCCTAAAAACTACATTTATAGCCCTCAACTTCCTCCCAGTCTAAAGCTTCATATCTCCAGCTGCCTGATGGGCATTTCTACCTGGATATCACTAAATCTGTCTAAAACAAAATTTCTCATCTTGCTCTCAAATTTGTCTCTGCCCCTTAAATTTCCCATTTCTGCTCATGATAATACCATTGGTTTCAGGCTTAAAACATTGGAATCACTGATTCCAAAGTCACTGGCTCCTCCCCATAATCACAAACCCTTTCAAAACTCTTCCCTCACCACTGGCCTGGAGTAATGGCTTAACTCAATGTCAGCCTCAGAGGCAAGCTGATGGAAAGGGCCCTAGACACAGATCCAGGAGACATGGGTTTAAACCCTGGCCAGGTCATTTGGTGCTCTGTGATGTTAAGAAAGTGTCTTTCCTCTCTAAGATTCTCCTCATCAATAAAACAGGCATAATGATATCTGTACTACTGACCTCATAAAGCCGTTGTGAGGAAAACAAATTGGTTCTTATTCTCTCTCTTCTCTAATTCATCCTTTGTACCACTATCGCACAAATCTTCCTAAAATTCCACTTTTACCACAATTTTTCACATCATAATATCACAACTCAAAACTTTTCAATGGAGCTCCTCTGTCCAACTTTTTCCCTTGGCATTTGATGCCCTTTTTCTTCTACTCCTTCACCTGAACCCATATGGATTGGCCTGCTGACCCCACCTTGGCCTAGACTATCTTTGTGCTAAGGCTAAAGTTGTTTCTTGTCTGAGATGCCTTCCCTCTCCTTCCCCCTGCCTCTCCACGTCCTGTACCTCCTTCAAAGTCTGGGGCAAGCCCCTTCTCCTCTGCGAAGCCTTCCTTAACCCTCCCAGCCCAGAGTGATTCCTCCTTCGCTCCTTTGGAATTTGTAATTCTGATTGGTTATGTCTTGCTTTGTGACATTTCTTATGCTATTATTTTAAAATGCTATTTAACTTTTTCTCTGAGCCCCATCTTCCCAGCTAAACAATAATTCCCAGGAGGGCCGAAACCAATATTTCCAATATTTTTGCACCTATCCCAGGGGCTAGCACACGGCTGATGCTCAAACAATTTTGAATGATGGCTGTGTACAGTAGAAAAACCCAATTAAAGTACAAGTACAAAGGCCCAACATCAGGCTGAAAGCAAACTGAAAGTCCGAGTTGTAATTAAATGCATGTTTATTGAGCACTTTCCAAGTGCCTTAGCCTCTTTGAGATTTCCTAGAGTAGACGAGTGTAAAGTCCCATAGTTCCAGACTACAAGGTGCTGACCACTTCCCTGTGTGGCACACCTCCCATAATGACAGACTTTGTATCATTAAAGGCAAACCATATTCCTTAGTTCAGATATTGTCCATATACTCACATATCAAAAGCACTGAACTCCAAAGTCAAACGTGCTGGCAGGCCAGCCGAATCACCTGGACAGAAACATGAGCAAATCAGTAAATGGGCACTTATACAAGTGAGCCTGTGGGCAAGCCTGCTCTTTTTTCAAATGAGATAATATTGGTGAAATGCTTAGCCCAGTGCTTGGCACATGGCAGGTACTACATAAATGCTTCTTCCCTCCACCCACTGCTTCTTGAGGGAGTCAGGACTCCATTGTTAACCCCTGGTACTTCATAACAAGAACTGAGAAGGTAGTACAAAAACCAACCAATGACATTTTTTTAAAAACAAAAAATACACACCTCATCTCAGTCAATCTCTTCCCCACCTTTACTAAAAACACAAATATCTTAGGTCTTGTTTTTCTTTTCCTTTGTGTTATGGGGGAGAAATGAAAATGAGTTTTATTAAAAAACAGGGTACAAGAAGAGAAACTGAGGCTCATTCACCACGTTTATGATTCGTACACTAAAGCTGATTCAAACATAAACAAAATTTAACTGTACACTTGGAGGAAAGCAAACCAGGATAAAGAAGTCTAGGGTAGCCTACCATTATAATAATAACCCTTAATATCCTTTGGGGCCTCATCCAGGCGATACTCATTCAGCTTCTTCTGGGTCAGTTCATGCCAGAATCCAGCATCCAAGGCACTACTAAAAGGAGCAAACTGCAACTTGGAGAGTCTGGAGCCTGGGGAACAACAGGCCTCACCAGTAGCTGTTGCCATTCTTTATTCATAGATCTGTATTTGAGAAGTACATACAAAAACAATACAATCCTTATGACAAGCAGCCTCAGAGTTGTACTTTATCAGCCCCAATTTTTTCTAAACATTAAACTGGTAACCAAAGCAATCAATCAATCAATCTACATTTCTAAGAAGAGGAAGAATGGTATGACAGGAAGAACGACAAGATCTGAAGTCAGAAGACTCAGGTTCAAGTCCTGACTCTGTTTCTTACTACCTATGCGACCTTGGGAAGTGTATTAACTTCTCTGGATCCAAATTTCCCCACCTGTAAAAATATGGGGCTTGGACATCAAGTGTTCTGAGGCCCATGATTTTTTTTAATATTTTGATAACTATATTTTAATATTAGTTTCCTTTGTAATTTGATGTATTTTATTCTATGAATCTGAAAATATTCTTCTAGGAAGACTTCCATGGACCTCACCATTTGGCCCAGAGGGCCCATTACACACAAAGAAGTTAAGACCCCTGGACCATACGATCTCTAAGGACTTTTCCAGCTCTAATCTATGTGCCTTATCCCCATATTGGGTACCTACTACTACCAGGCACTGGGTTGGCAGTGCTAAAGACACAAACACAAAAATAAGCCTGTCCTTACTGTAAAGGACTACACTTGGAGAATGTTCGTTACATCACAAGGAACAGATTAAAATGGACTATGGGCTTCACTGGGCCTGGATCCAATGAAATGTTTGTCTACCCCAGGATGAGATTCCAGTTTTCAAGCTGAAGCAATCTCTTACACGCTTTTCACTTTTTAATTACTGCCTATGATCCCTTCTATGTAGTCATTAAATATTTACTACATGTCTAAGTACTTTAGATTCCTTAAAACAATGCAAAATATAGAGTACATAAATATAAAATATTATTTCTACAAGATGATGGACTTATGACATATATATGATTTCACTGAGAAAATAAAATGTACTCATACACAAAACAGCTAATAATAATAACAGCTAGCACTTACATAGTGCCTATGTGCCAGGCACTATGCTAAGCACTTTACAAATATTATCCCATTTCATCCTCACAACAACCTTGGGAGGTAGGTGTTATTATTATTCTTATTTTACAGTTAAGGAAATTGAGACAAACAGACATTAAATGACTTATCCAGAATCACATGGCTAGCAAGTGTCCAAGGCTAGCTTTGAACCCAGGAGTTCCTAACTCCAGGCCCAGCCCTCTATCCAATAGACACAGAATGGCTCCAAAACCCTTGGGGGTAATTACTGCCAATGTCTTTCAAGTATCAGTGATTTCTCATCAGATCTAATACTAAGGAAATGACAGCAGTTATCAAAAGAAGAGTCAAGAAATCGGCAAAACAGAAAAAAACCAGAAAGAGACAAAAAAGACATATCTAAATTCATTCTTGCCAGGGGTAATCAGCATCCTCTCCCACCACCATACCTTCCAACACACATACCCAAACTCCCAACTAACAGTAATAATTTTTCATTTATTTGATAACCTCCAACCATTCAATTTTACTAATGCTGAGAAGCCAAAAAAAAAAAAGCAAAAAAAATGACTTACTGCTCAACACAACACTACAGCTGAGAGGGGTATAAATTAAAGGAACCACTTAGAAGACTATGCTTCCACAATAGGAAAGTGACTTACATAAGGGAGACTGCTTGAAATGTCTAAAACATGTAGCCCTTGAGAAACTGTGAACAGGACGAAACCATTTCACAAGAGAATGTGCTCAGTGGCTGAAACCACTGGCTAACTCCACCCCACTTCTCCAAAATTTACCAGCTCTGAGGTGGCCAGAAAGCCTTGAGCAATGATGAGACCATGTGATAATCGCCTGGGCACTGTGAATCCAAATGTGTTAACACAAAGTCCATCTGTATCACTAAATACATGTGCACATATATATGTGTGTCTGTATACACATAGATATATGTATATATGTATGTATATACATGTGTGTATACACACACATGTATGTATTTTTTCCCTCTAAGCTGGAGGAAAAAAACCTAAGAAGCAATGATCAGGGGACCTTTTGAGTAAAGAACTGGGTTAAAAGCCTAGCTCCACCCCTTAATACTAGTGTGACTTTGGACAAGGCACTTAATGTATGCAAGATATCAATTTCCTCATCTGTAAAATGAAAAGCCACTCGCTATATGACCTCCGAGGCCCTTTCCAGCTCTAAATCTATTCTGATAAAATCCTAGCAACTAAGTTATTTATGTATGACCAATCTGTGACCTACCATTGCTTGCTCCTGATCTGAGGGCATGGTGTATGGGCTTGCCTTATGTGGTGGCTCACTGGCACATTGCACAATTCAGGCTGTATGTGCTCTCTACTCTCAAAAGCCTTACTTATGTTTATTTTAAAAAGAGACGAGCAGTACAGTCAGACAAGACAGACACCGATAACAATATAAGCACTTCAGAGGTCTGTGACCTATCCACTGATCAATCAGCTACCATTTGTTCAGTGCCAGCTATATGCCAAGCACTCTGCCAGGCACCGGGTATAAAAAAAAAAAATCAAAGCAGTCTCTGCTTTGAAGGAGCTTACATTGCAAAGAGGGAGACAAGTGGAAGTATACACAAAATAAAGACAAGGTAATGAATGGGTGGAGGCAACGGAAGATCAAGAAAGACCTCAAGCAGTAGGCAGGTGACTTCTGAGTAAGTTTTGAGGAAAATAAAGGATTCTAAGCAGCAAAGGTGAGGGTGGAGCACATTTCGGGCATGGGGACAGAGTCACATATTAGGAACAGCAAAACGACCAACGTAACTAGACCACAGAGTGCACAAAGGAGAGTGATATATAACAAAACCAGAAATATTGATTGGGGCTAGACTATGAAGGGTTTTAAAAACCAAACTGAGGTTATACAGTATCCCAACACTCTTTGAGCAGTTTTAAGCCTTTAAGGTTTAAAGATCTTGAAGGCAGTAGGAAACCACAGTTTATTAAGAAGGGAGTGACATGGCAAACCACTCTAGTATCTTTGCCAAGAAAACTCCATGGACATTATGGTCCATAGGGTCACAAAGAGTAGGACATGAGTAAACAATAACAACAATTGGGCTGGGTGGTGGATAATCTATTGTCTGAGGACCAACGTAAGTAAAGCTACATTAGGGTGGCCACAATGTTGAATTTCTTAGCTATAGCTACTCTTTAAGGCCATTTACTAAATGACTGAGCAGTCATAATCCGCTCCCCTTCTCTGCCAAGCTCCAAAGACAAACCTGTTATGATTGCTATCTCCACTTCTTCCTTTTCTTGTTCCCTCTTCACTCTCACTCGGTGCTCTCCTTAGCTCACATGCTTTTAATGATTGTCTCTTTTCAGATAACTCCCAGAGCTACATTTCCAGGCCCAGTTGCTCGCCTAAGACAGAGTCCTGCTTCACTAACTTCCTAGTGGATATTTCAGGCTGGATGTTTCACCGGTAGATAACATTCAACATATCCAAAGCAGAATGCACTGTTTCCCCCCCAAACCTATTCCTTTTCCCAGCTTTTCTATTTCGGTCAAGGTACCACTGTTCTTCAAGTCATCTAAATTCATAGGGTTCCTGTTGTTGGCTTTAGGGTTTACAAAGCACAAAGCCCCTCATAACAACCCAGTGAACTAGGAAACAAAAGCAACTTCTTTCACCAATGGCCATCCAAGTCACCAGCACTTATTGAGAGTAACATTTCTCCAGGAGTGTTCCCCTCCTACTTCCAAGTATGATTGTAAAATTAAAACAAGAAAACCTAGCCATTATGTAACACATCAGTAAGAAGAAACCAACTTGTGTAACAACATACAGGTCAGGCTGATTCAGTATGGGCTGATTGGCAACTCTGGTCCCAAGAGCTTGCTTTGTTTTGGTGATGTGGCCCATGGGGAGTTTCAGGAAAGGTTAGAGCTGTGATATATGCTGGAGCTTCAGGAATGGCATTTTCTTAAGCTGCTTCTGTTACATATTCACAGGGTTGTTATGAGGGGAAGAAGTGCTTTGTAAACCCTAAAACTGGAGAGAAATGAGAGTGACTCTAGTGCATAGATGCAAGAATGCCAGTCTGATTTGGGCTCTGACCTTGAAAGAAGCCGACACACTTAATGATTTTTAGGTTCCCATCCATGGACCCAAAGATCCTTGAAGTGTAAGCAGCTTGCAGAAGGCAGAAAACAAGTCAATTCAAATTAGTTTATGCCACAAAATACATCTTAGGTGAGGATGAACATTTTCTTTTGGAAATTTTGCCCATCTACAAAAGTCTCCAATGGATGTAAGGCAAATGATTAGTTGAAAAGTGCCCAGATAAAATGAAAAATATGTAAGGAAGAAAATATATACAGATCTAGTGTCAACTGGAAGAAATGCATTAGCTTGACTCAGGTATCTAAGTAGAATATAATTTCCATAAGTTGTTGGTATTTAGTAACAAATTTCGACAACATAACAGCGTTTTGGTTTCATTGCTTTTAATATGCATATTTGCTGGACAGACATATTTCATTTTGCCCAGCAAGGCTTTAATGGGATAAAACAAGGATTTCAGGGAATGCCTAAGAACAATGAGTACAAAATGAGTAACAACCTTATGAAATGTCTTGTCCTTTGGGGGAACCAAGCCAAACTTGTTTCCTCTTAAATCCTGTGAAACCATTATTTCTGTGAAAATGGCAGAATCATAATAATAATTTTCCCAAATTGTTTAGGGAGTGTAGGATACCTCCATCTGGATATACTACAGGTATGTCACACAAAACTGAACTCCTAGTGAAGTCTCCCCAAAACCGGTCCCTTCAATTCTTTCTTTGTTAAAAGCACTACCGTCTTCTAGGCATCTGGGTACTAACCTTAGAGTCATCTCTGAATTTTCCTGCTCTATTTTCCACATTAGTTGACAAACTCTATTGAGTTTATTCTTTCCAACACAGCATTCTTTTCACTGCTACTTCAGTGCCTTATCTTTTCTCATCTAATTTACTAGAATGGCCTACCAATT